GTACAATAGATACAATAGATGTCGAAGGTGTTGTAACAGATCTGTAATACAAGACTATTCTAGAATAACTAACATTTTCAAGGGTCAATGCTAGTGAAAATCAGACAAGGGTATTGAAGATCTTGGGTAAAAATCAAGTGTAACAATATATAATACTAAATAATTTTATTAACTTTATAGTTAAATAATAAAATTTATTTTGAATACTATAATTTTTATTACTGAATATTGTAACTTTATTGTTAAATATTTTTTATTTAGAAATATTTTTTTGTCAAATAATTTTCTTTTAAATAATTTTATTGTTAAATAATTTTATTGCCGAATGATTTTATTGCCAAATAATTATTTTTGCCAAATGTTATATTTTTTTTTTTCAAATTATTATATATTTAAGTATTGAATGGCATAAATTGAATCAAATAACAAAACTTCAGTATAAACTTTTATTAATAAATTTGAATTTAATTAATTATAATTTAACAGCCAAATAACCTAATTTGAACTAGTGTTATGAGAAGTTACTGTTGTTTGAATTTTGTAATTATATAATTCAGAATTTGGAAAAGTCAACTAAGAGTAAAATAAAAATATTTTTCACTGATTCAGTAATTTGGATGGTATTTGAATTACTTTTTTTTTATATTATAAAGAAAAAATAGTTGTCAATATTTGTTACTACAATATTCAAAAGAATATAAGTTAAGTTTGATAACTTGTCTTTAGAAGAAGAGCTCCCAAGGACACTTGTTATTTTATTTATTCTAATAAATTTGTTAGTTATTAAAAAAAATTTTTTTAAGTGATGCAAAATTTTTGGAAAAGATTTTTTTCTTATATAATTAATAATTAATTAATAATTAATTTATTATTATTATTTTTTTTTATATAGAATTTTTAGAATTATTAACAGTTTGAATATAAATTAGTTGTAATCTTTCAAAGCTAAGATTCTAATATTTTGACTTTAAAAAAAAGTAAAAAAATTTAATAGCTCAATAAACTTATTCTCTTGTAGTAAGATAGTTAGATCATGTAGGCAATACAATGGTCTAAATATTAAAGATTCAAAAATTACAAGTAGTTTATATAATACAGTATATACAATACATATAATTCGAGTCATTGACGTATTCACGTGATAAATATTACACATATTAAAAAAAATTTTGTCAAAAAATCTTTATTTTAGGATGGCAGAAGATACTCCCAACCCTGACAACAGTACAACTGCTTCAAAACCGAAATCAAAAAAATATCGAAAAGATAAACGTGCGATTCTATTGTAATTATGCTTATTATATAGTCATTTTTTTAACAAGCTATTTACTAAAATTTGTATATTATGCAGCATGGGATAACGAGGATATCGATCATTGGAAAATAGAACCTTTTACACAAGAGGACAATCCCCTGCCTTTCACAGAGGAATCGTCATTTGCAACTTTGTTCCCAAAATATAGAGAAAACTATTTGAAAGAAGTATGGCCACACGTTACTAAAGCTTTGGAAAAACTGGTAAGTTTGCATGAATTCCATGTTGGGATTTCAATTTCTAGTACATATTAATATTAAATCAATGTATAGGGTATAAAATGTCTGTTGGATTTAATTGAAGGTAGTATGACAGTAAAAACTACAAGGAAAACGTTCGATCCCTATATAATACTTAAAGCTCGTGACCTCATCAAACTTTTGGCTAGAAGTGTTCCATTTCCACAGGTCTGTCAGATGATCGATTTGATTCAACATCTTTTTCATAGTTGCTAAACAAATAACGAAATCGGTCTTAGGCAGTTAAAATCCTCGATGACGGAGTAGCATGTGACATTATAAAAATTGGTAGTATTATAAGGAATAAGGAACGCTTTGTAAAACGAAGGCAAAGGTTGATTGGCCCGGATGGTTCAACGTTAAAGGTATGAGATGAATAATTTTATTAATTATAATAATCAGCATTTATTAAGTTTAATTTAAAATTCTTAGGCAGTAGAATTATTGACTCAATGTTATGTTATGGTCCAAGGTAACACTGTGTCCGCTATGGGACCTTACAAGGGATTGAAAGAAGTGCGAAGAATCGTGATTGATTGTTTAAAGAATATTCATCCCATTTACCACATCAAAGTGAGATATTACATTTTTTTATTGATATATACCAATTCGAAACATTAAATTTTTGTTTTTCAAATTTGTAATAAGGAATTAATGATAAAAAGAGAACTTTCCAAGGACCCCAAGTTAAAGAACGAATCTTGGGATCGTTTCTTGCCTCATTTCAAAAAACAGAACATTAAAAGACCCAAAAAACAAAATATTAAGAAGAAAGAATACACACCTTTTCCTCCTCCACAAACCCCTAGCAAGGTGAATATTATTTGAATACAGAATTGTGAATGTGTTTAGCAATAAAAAATATCTAATAATCGATTAAATGTATTATTTAGATTGACTTGCAATTAGAGTCCGGAGAATATTTTCTCAAACCTCAAGAGAAAATTGCGCATGAAATGGAAAAGAAGAAGGTAGTTTTTGATCTGTTATTGATAATAATATGGATAATTTTCTAAATATCTGAATATATTTTAGGAAAAACAAAAAGAAAACGCCTTAAAACGTAAGGCAGAAAGGGAAAAAGCATTCGTTCCCCCGGTAGAAGATTCTCATAAGAAAAAAAAAATTAGAAAATAAATAAGCTTTTTCTTTAAAAAAAAAATTATTTCACCGATTTTTTGGATTTAGTCTCCTAGATCAAACCATTCAAACACCTTAATTTCAATTTGTTTTTAAATATTTCAAAGTTGATTATCGATTCATGTTTAATGTTGTGTTTATATCACAGGCCATTGGTACACAATTCTCAGAAAACGATTATATTGCATGTTTAATAAAAAAAAGGAAATTGAAAATTCATCTAATAATTTATCACGGTATAATTTTTGAATTTTTTATTAGATGGTGTTGCATTAATCATATCAAATTATTTATTGTTTTAAAATAAAATCAAAAAAATAAAATAAGAAAAATAAAAATACTATTAGCAAATAGTATTTTTGTTTTCATTTTTATTTCATTTATGAAGGATTTATTTACAATTGATTTAAAATTTTATTTAAAATTTTATTTTTTTTTTTGTAATAAATATCATTTCTTTATTTGATTTGCATATGTCAGAGTATATATTATGAAAGAAATATCTTTATATGTTAATACAATGAGTTAAATGCTAGCTTGCTTACAGTAACTATTTGACTAATATTGAAAAAAAATTTAAACCAATATATTCTATTAGATAGTACTGAGTGGTTACTCAATATTAGAGGAAGTAAAGTTTGATAATAATGATATTAAATTTTGAATATATTTGAAATAATTATAATTACACTAAATAAAAGTATCAGTAACTAAAATAAATAAGTTGATAATAGTTTTTTTAGATAGAATACTAATAAATAAAACTTAGTCTATAATATATACATTGCTAAAATTCATAAATTCTTGATATAATTGATACAATTATTTGATGCAATTAATTAAGTCACTATTAAAACATATAAATAATTAGGTATAGTATAATTATTTTTGAGAATTTTGAAAAAAGTTAACAGCAAATAAAAATAAAAAAACTCTCACTCATTTACTGCTGATTTTTAAAAAATCTTCTTTCAAGAAGTATTTTTATTTTTTTATTTTTAAGGCAAATAAGCTTTAAATTTAAAAATATAAAGATTTTAAAAAATACTATTATATTGAAATAGAATCTTTGGTCAAGACCTAAGCAAGTTGAAAGTCTTTTTTAGCTTTTAATTGCATGGAAAAAGACTTGTGACTGTCTTTCTTTATAATTTTTTGTCTTTAGATACTTTTCTTTATAAGATTATAATAATTTTTTTTTTATCTCGTCTCTTTATAATATAAATACAATTCTAATAACATATTTAAACAAAATTATTGGATTTAATATTTGTCTCAATACAACTTTTACAAACTTATTATTTTTTCTTTCTTCTTTAATTAAAAAATCAATATTATATCTTATTTTTCTTAATTTTTTATACTTTTTTTTTAATTTACTTAAAAATCACAATCAGTTTTATCCCACTTAAAGATCTACAGTTAACAAATAACCAATCAAATTTTTTCACTTCCTAACAATAAAACCAAACCTGTTCAAACCTATCTATAATCAGTTTCATAACAAAAATATCTATACTTAACAACAATAACAACAATAAAAATAATAGCAATAATAATTACAAAACAATTAACTGATAATTTATCAGATTGGAAAAGTATGTAATATATATCATATACAAGTTTTGATATCTTTAATTTTACATATATTTAAACAATACAACAAGTAATTGAAATAGGCTTTAGTTACCTAATTTATTTTATATCTTATCATAATACTCTTTCACAACTATACAATTATTCTTTATTATTTTAACAATAGAGTTGCAATCTATAAGTAGCAATGTTATCATTAAAGAAAAATGACAGCTAAAGTCTAATCAATATAAATAAAAATAAAATACTTTTATTATAAGTAAAAGTAAATTATCTGAAAGTTGTATTCTATAATTTGATAGCTTAAACCAGTACTCTTTTACTGCTACTCAAATTGTATTCAGCTATTAAAAAAAAAGTAGCAATCTAAATAAATATATTTGATTTGTATCCTATAGAAGAAATTATTGATACAAAAATAATATACAGTGAACCCTTTCTAAATGCACACTCCTCAGAACCATAGGAAAATTTTTGAAAAATGTGCATTTATAGAGGATGTGCATTTATAGAGATAATTTTATTAATGGTTCTATATACTTGGGACTAAGCTTGACCATGCATTTAGAGAGAGAAAATATAGTAAGTGCATTTATAGAGGGTGCATTTAGGGAGATCTTTCTGTATTTCAAAAACTCCAATATATATCATTACTTTAATATATATATTTTTTTACAAAACATCAATTATATATTTTATTTGACATTACTAATATACTGTATATAGTATATAGCTGATTTTATTATAAAAATTTTTTCTATTCTTAATTATATCTTTTACATTCTTTTTACAATATGATAATATTGTCAAAAATATTTTTTTATTTTTTATTTTTTATAACTAATAGTTTTTTATATTTTCTTTACTTCAAGATTTTTCAAATAATATATCTGTTTATAGTAATAGCCTAATATGTATAGTCATATATTTTATTCTTTTTTTTTATTGTTAAATAAGGTATTTCCTATAATTTTTATTAATAAAGTAAAATATATTACATAATTAATATTAAGATGTTGAAATATTGTATATTGCTATACATATCAGCCTATCACCATATTAAATATACAGCTATCTATCATATTATTGTGGACACTTTTTTACACTTAATTATTTAAAATTGTAATAACTAATTTTTTATAAATTTTTTAT